GTAATGTGATCTGTTATTGTACTTGGGATACCCCCTTTTCAAAGAGGTTGTGACTACAGTAATATTTTGAAAAATAATTGAAACTGTCTGACAAGGAAGTATGCTCTTCTGTAGCTTTTGGCCTTGCTTATTGTTGTATACACAGAAGATCTCTGACCCTCAGCTGAAGATACCTAAATCATGGTTTGCTAGTGATATGGGCTAGAGTCAGTGCTCTGTGAATTCCATGAGAGTTTAAAGTCAAACAAAACATTCCTGCAAGGATGCAGGATGCAGACATAATTCCTATGATTCCTCTTCATCAAGGGTGGAAATATTTTCCCACATTACTGGGAAAAGAACTGCAGACAGTCTCAGCTTTAAGGGGTCATGGCTATATCCAGAATTCATGTGAGCAAGTGAAGAAATTGAGGAAAAGTAACAGAGGAATATGCTACAGAAGAGCTCAGACCTGGGCTAGGCTTATGCCTGGTGCGTAAGTGCTTTATTATGCCTTAATCAGCTGTGTTATCTGCAATATAATGTTGCTCTGAGATGTTGGAGCTCTAATCAAGGATAAGGATCTGAGTCAGGTGCTATATCTGAAAAAAAGATGAACTAAAAATTTTTTTACAAGTTTGAAAGTTCACTTGCAAAAGTAATAGAAGAATTAGTTAATAAACCCCAGATTTCGTGCTCAGACTGTTGCTTATGATCTGTTCCAAGATTATTATAGAATTCCTATCAAGGACTGTCTCAGGTTCTTACTTCTGAGCCCCAGTTAGAAAGTTTTAAATTAATGGACACTTTATAGTTAATTGTAATATAATTAAAGGAAAAGGTTAAAAAAAAAAAAATCCAAACCTAAATAAGTCCTGCAGAAAGCATTACCACAAAGGCACTAAATTTAATTACAGAGGTAATGATATATTGCCTACAGCATGAGAGGAGAAAGTACTTTCTCATGTAATAGGCTAAAACTGTCTTTCTGCTTGTTGGCTCAGAACCAGTCATTTGTCCTGGAGTGTATCTGAATTAGCAGCTTCCTCCCCCCTCTCCCCCCTCCCCTCTTATAATCCTGTTTGGATTATAAATTCAAGTGTGAAGACTCAGGTAGCATTTGAAATTCTGGCAGACTAGAGCAAAGGGGGCTTAATTTTTCTTATGGAAATCAATTTTAAAATGCATCCTTTTCTAAATAGCTATTGAAGTATTGGCTTTTTTCATTTTATAAGCATGAGCCCACTTTTCTGTTGGTAAGTTCTCCAAACAAGTTTTGGGTTAACTTCTGTTGATCATCACCTTCTATTGATGGGAAGTGATATTGCCTTGCTTTGTTTTACCAAAGCTGCTAGGTTACTGATATTCTAAGTTTCCAGTAGAACTTGTTTCATTATAGATCAAGAGGAACTTGAACTAGGACTGTCTGGCTTTCCTCCAGGATGTACAGCAACCTAGATCCCAGAGCACGCTTCCTCACAGCTCTTTATATTTGTACTTTGGAGCAGATAACAAGGCTAAGTATAAGCCTGAGGATGACCCTGCTGATTTCCTTCAGGAAGGATAGCGTTTTTCTTGTGTTCTGACAAACAAGTACTTCAATGATAGTTTTAGGAAGAGCTAGTCCACCCTCTTTTGAAGAGGGAGAGAGAATAGCACAACTACGTCTGCTGTGGAAATAGGATGTCCTTTTTTCAGAGAAGTCTGTAGCTGGATGCCAGATGAGGTATGCCACAGGCTGTTTTGTCTGACAGATGTTTTTACGTGTTACTTGCTCGCAAATAAGATGGCTAGTCTTGTCTCTTTCTCTTTTGCAGTTCACTGGCCCCAAGTGGGTGTCATTTAGATGTGACTTGTAACTAATTTCTATTCATTTCTATTTGGCAGGGAGAAGTTATCAAGCTCCTTTCCCATTTCTTCTTTTGTGACATCTGCTCCCTTTGTCATGTTTTCGTGCTCCTCCTCTGTGTATTTTAGCAGCCTTGTTTTTGATGTGTGTTCTGAATAGTTTCCTGCTGCTTTTTTGTACTTCCTACCATAGTCATTGCAGTCTGCAACATCAGTTAGTGGATTCTCGCTATGGATGGCTAATCCATGTTTCCTATGCTCCGTTAGCTTGGGGAAGAGGAATTCCTGATTTTCTTTCTGCACAATCAGTCTCCAGTTGTCAGGCACAGAAACAGACACTTGTAATTCATGTTCTGCAGTTCGTGTCTGCACAAGTGCTTGAAACCAAGGAATGTTTTATCACAGAGAATTCCTACTGCTGTAATCAAGGCTGCAGCTCTACTCTCCTTGAGTCATGCAGGAGATCTGCTTCTGCCTCACCTCCTTTCACCTCACTTTTGTCAATCTTTGCTAAATTGATTCTAGGTACAGAGCTGGATGGCCAAGAGCATAGCAGTGCTATCTCTGTAGTAACAGGCTTTCCTAGCTCCTACTAACATGTATTTAGTGCCTTCTCCAGTAGCTGCTAACAAGAGAATGCAGGGAGTGTATGGAAATGAGGGGGATGGTGGCAATAGGGAGAAAAATATTCTTGCCTTCATTAAAATATCAAGGCAACTCCTGGAACAGGCTAGTAGCACTTTGAATTATTACAGTGAGATCTTATACAGTTAACTAAGAGCTATATCATATGTGCATTTGTGGGAAGGAGTACACAGTAGTCCCACAGCCTACTTTCTGTAGCCCCTTTCATGTAATCCCCTTCTGGAGCTGGACTAATTAAATTAGCAGTAAATAGTTTGCAATATGATGTTTCTCTTAGAGACATAAGGAAAGTCATCTGGAAAATACTCTGCAACTGGGACTTCCAGAAGAGCTGTAAGACAGAGTAGAAAGATACAGATGCACACTGTATCAAGGAGACACCTGAACAACATGGCGGGGGAATGTTGATTTAGGAAATAAATTTGAAAACTTGTGGCCGTTCAAGAAAGATGTGAAGTACCTTGACCTAAAAGAGGAATATGAGGCTGAGCTACCTGTAGCACTGATGGTAATTAGCTGTTCCAACTTGAGTGTTTGTAGTGATGAAGAGACTTAATTTTCAAATTAAATGGTCACATTTTGCTATCTATTTCCATGTTGTTTGGCTTCTTCCAGCATTTTAGAAATAGGAATAGATAGGAAGAGGCTAGTATGACTTCAGCACAAAATTTTTGGTAGCCTGCAGAGAAAAAGAAGTGGCAGAGGAAGTCTATAATGAGGGAAGAATAGCTCTGTAACAGAACAGGAAAAAAGTTTGAATAAATATGCATCAGGCACAGTGGGAGTAATCAGAGGACTCACAGATGGAAAACTAGAGGACTTCAGAACTTAAATAGGAGGTCTCCTAAAATGAGGTTATCTAATTAAATAATTATTGAGGTAGAAGCTGCTTTCTGTACTCATCTACTGGCTCTCCCTGTGGAGTAGCAGGAAGGGATATTTGCCAGCGAGGGTAGGTTTGGGATGCATGTGCTATATAACTGCAAGGCAAGGCACAGCCACCAAAGGCCTGGAGGTTTTTGTAGATGATCTATGCATGCAGCTTATGTGCTGTATGTGTGTGCCGAATGTACTATGTGTGGGTGTTGTGGGGGAGGGACCTGTGTACTGGTGTTTAGAAATACAGCTAATGGAGGTTCTGTCTGAAGAGAAGCGCTTTTAAGCTCTGGGTTATGGGAAGATGTATATGAAGCTTAAATAGGACAGAAGATCAGAGAAACCATGGGCTTGAATCACCTTTGCTTACATAAGCAAAACGAAAATAGGCATCCTGCTGCCTTCTATCACACCCCTTCAAATCTGAAATCTAAGCTAGCTACTACAGCTTGACAAGATTCAGTACAGGTTTTCAGTTTGATCTTCTTGCTCTGTCACTGGGGATTCTTGTCCATTCACTGCATTGAATGGACAAGAGATCCTAGGAGGAGGCAGTTGGTCTGCTTGCCCCAGTGGTTGGCAATGTAGAGAGGTGTGGGACTTGTGCTGTCATTTACTTTCTTGTGCTTCTTGCAGCAGGTGTGGTTATAGCATCTTTATCGAAACTACCAGCCAGAGAAAGTGGCTAGAGGGAAAGTCTACTGATAAGTCCCAGGAGAACTGCCCAGGTTTGATTTCCCTTGGGTCTGAATTCTGGATTTAATTTCCAAAATCAGGAGAGTTAGAGCTACGTGCACTGAGCAGTCTCTGATCTCGCTCCTTGCAGGCACACTGCACTCATCTTCAGTGATCTTCTCTAGTTTCCTAAAGAATTAGCTTTTCAGGCTAAAGAACAGCTGTGAGCAGCTGGAAGGAGGAGCCCTGCTTGTATCAGGATGTTTCAGGGCCTCTTAGTAACAAAAAAAAACAAAAAAAAAGACGAAGAGCTGTAAAGCAAGGCAATCAAGGGAAGCCATAGAAAATCTGGAGAATGAAAAAGGAAAGGGAGTGAAGGGAGAGAATGACAGCATAACAGAGGAGTGGGCTGCCAGAGGAAAGCAGATGCATAAAATTGGAAGGATGGGGTGAAGAGAGAAGGGAGGCTTTTAGAAAGGAGCGTGCGTACGTGTGTGTGTGTGTGTGTGTGTGAACAGGACTGTTCTGAACACAGGATGGTGCCATTACTAGCAGATCTGGGACTATATATGAGGGATGCACTGTGTTGAGGGGAAAGGTGTTGGTGCGTGCGTGGTTGTGAAAGGAGGCAGTTCTTAAAGCTGATGTGTGTACAGAGCAGTACAGATTTCAGAGGGTCTCTGTGAGGTGACTGGGACTTTGGGTTGCTGCAGCACTGAGCCTTAGAGGGTGTTATTTATAGCAGCAACCGCTGAGGCAGGAAAAGTTTGCTCAAGCTGTCATTTGTGTGAGCCAGAGAGCTGGAGTCTAGCTCTCCCTTCCTCCCTCCCTCTGATTTTCACTGTAATTAGCAAGCTTTGTATGAGCTGGGTCAGAGCTGGCAGCTTTTTTAGAAGACTGTGTTCTCCAGGCAGGAATAAGGAGAGGTTTTTCTTCTGGGAATATTTAGCCTGTTCTTTTGTTTTGTTTCAAGGACTATTCTGCTCATGCAGAGGTGGAATCCACAAGAAGGGAGCGGCATGAACCACAGATTTCTCCTGAAGTTCCAGCAACAAAAGTCTGTATCTGAAAATTCACAGTCAGACTTTAAATGTTCCCTTTGGATTTAGATGCAATAAAAAACATCTTTTTTAAGATTTTCGTCTGTGTTAATTCTGGCTGGTCTAGGATGAGAAAGGCCCATTAATTAATACGAAGTTGTTTTACTGTCATTTACCTGGAAATTCTGTTTCCTTTGAAATCTCACGAGCTTCCCGTTGAGTGCAAAAGTAAAAGTGATGGATTGAAAACAGCAAAGGGTCACTGTACAGATACAGATGGTTAATATCTGTGTTTCTATGACAGATGATGGCAACGATCTTTTGTCATGTGATGTAAGGTCTCTTACATTTTATATGTGTAAGTGATATGGCTGGTATTATCCAGGGCAAGGAAATTTCCCAATTGAAATTACAATTCTCTGCTGTGGGATTTTAGCAAATGTGATGTGGTATTTGTGCTATGTGAGATGTACGTAGAGGCAGTCAGTGCTGTGCAGACAGTTGTGTTAGTACAAATGTCTACCTTTGCCAGTGCATGCAAACACTCATGTATATTCAGTGACACACATTCATCCTTCACTACATAGAGCTCCTGTTACTTTGGTGTTTAATCATTGCTGCTTTAATGCCCTAGGAAAAATATTCAAGTGAAACTAGATATACCTCATGATACTGGCACGTGGCCTGGATTTGTGCCCAAAGAAGCCCTCCCCTGGAAACTACTTGAGACTACTTCTGTGGAGCCAAAAGTTATGCTGAAGAGGAGGAATGATGGCAATATAGAGTTAGATTAGTTAGATTTCTAAATAGGATGCCTTAAAGATTGGTTTGGGTTCTGTTTTATTAAATGTGTTCACAGGAATAAATGAAATTGCTGCTTGCAACGTATCCCAATGCTTCAGTGAAGGCTCTAAGAAATACAGAATTGTGGGCAAGTCATAAAAGAGATTCTGCTTGATAAGGTTTGGACTGATGCTCTCAGCAAGAATAAGATACTGGAAATAGGAAACCTGGAAAGTATTTGAGGAGGAAGAGAAAAAGGCAGATTTACATGCATTTACAATGAAATACAGCAATAATATTTACTGGGGAATTATGTCACAGAGCATTTGAGAATACTTCCTCTTTCAAATACTGATGGGTGTAAAACTTCTACAGTGCTGCAGAATGAGGTGAGCCCATTGAGTAGTGTGTTTGTTTACTGTGAATTTACTGGGAATTTTTTTAGAATTTTGGAAGAAAGGGTTGGGAACCTCGAGGAACTGGTGAAAGAAAGATATTTAGACTTCTTTGTTTTAGAGTGACTTCTTAAAAGATGATTATGAGAAGATGGCTTAACTATATTCAAGGAGCTGCTTGTGGGAGTAGAGAAGTAATGAGATAAACTTTAGCAAAGGGCAATTTACTGGGAGTGGTAAGAAGCAATCCTGGTGAATGACACGGAAAAACCTCCCAAGGACAAATAGTGAGAGCTTAATTGTTTAAGTAATTTGCAGCAAACTAGAGAGCTCTTGAATGCGGATCTCATCTTAGGTGATTTAAGGACATGATAGAATATGCATGGTGTTTGGATTATGTGGTCTTGATGACCCTATCTTTTCAGTCTAATTTCTAGGAATGAAGATACACGTATGTTCTTCTTTCCCAAAATAAAGAATATGAAACCAAAGAAGCAGCCTGAAACTAGGTAGTGGCCCAAGTCATTTGGGATCAGTAGATGCTATACTTGAGTGCAAAGGTAAAAACAGAGAGACCAGAGAAACCACAGAAGGGGCAGATGTTATTAGAAATGGAGCTGTTGGCCCAATATCCAGTGGTTAGGGACACAGCTGAGCAAAATCACTAAAATAAACCAGGCGAATATGTAGCTCCAGTAAAGTGAGCATAAATTGTATCCAAGTAAGACTTACAGACCCTTCTGAAGCCATTTTCCAGTACAGTTAATCCTGGCAGTTTCACATAGTTAGCACCCATATTTAATAATTACAAATCATATTAAAAGGTGCATTAGGATATAGTCTACCAAAGAGCTTGCCGTGTGGCACTGATTCTCAACATTTTAGACTTGCAATCAAGCATATACCTGCCAAATCGGTTAGTAGTGACCTATGAGAATATGAAACATCACAAGTTCTTGTGGGTTGTGAAGCAGAAAAACAGAGTGATCTGTGAACCCTGTCAAGCACGGGACGTGCAATGTGGGGAGGGCAGGTGGAGTGAGAGGCTCTGAAATTCTGTGCATGCCTCTTTTTTCTTACCCCTGGTTTGTATCATTTAAGACTGGAGTGAGGGAGAGGAAGTACTATTTTAATTCTCCAGCCTCTTCCCCATTCAGAGACATCTTCCATTCCTCTATCATGTGGTCCTTCAATGTGAGGGGAACCAGCATTTCCTTCTTCCATCCTGACAGTTGTACCTGAAGGAGACTGCTCTTCAGCTCTTCTCCTAGGTCGGGAGCCTGTTGCTGTCTCTCTGCTTCTGAATGGGGTGTGCTACTGCTCACTGGGGAGGGGAACAGCAAAGGACTGCCAAGGACTGTTGTTGACCACACAGTTTTCCTGAGTTTGGCACTGATCTTCTGTTCTCCCACTTCTTTCATTCTTTATTTATTGGCAGTGGTGGTCCATTTGTCTCCTGTAGAATGACTGGTGGCTTTCCCTGTAATATGACTCATCACCTAGGGAATTCCCTAAGCTGTGAGTGAGTCAAGATAGCAGGAAAACTGTTTGCCTGCTTACTTGAACAAGGGAGCTTGGCCATGGCGTAGTAGAGAAGCAATTAGTTTTAATTGTGGCTGGGTTCATCCTGTCCTTTCCTAAAAGCAGGATATGTAGCAGGGATACATCACTGATGAGTTCTTTTTTCTTTATTTTCACCCTGAAATATGTTCCTCCTGATTTATTTATTTATTTTTCCTTTCCTTTCTGTCTGTATTGTAAGGCGGCTGATCTGAGACGCATTCCAGGGTGGAGTAAAGCTGACAGATTTGAATTTGCCAGTATTGTAGTGAAAAGCAGCTTGCCTAAAGAAACAAGGCAAACTGGCATAAGTAGTGTTTAGCATTTCAGCTAGACCTGGCTGATTTAACCCAGCATTTATTATTCTTCCTATATGCAAGTTAATAGTTGTATGATTTACAACTGTCAATTAGTATTTTTTGAATGCAGCCATGGGATATTAAAACAAAAACAAAGAGCTTCAGTCCCCAATGGCTATGTCTAGGAAAAATGAATTATAGTTGAGCTGTCATCAGAATACCACACACGTGAGCGTGGGTTAGCTGAGGTTCTAGGTGTTTGCGATGCCAGCTAACGTCAGTTAGATTTGGGGTGCCTAGCTACTCAACATTTTTGAAAGTGAGGTGCTTGCTGCATCTACTGACTTGCATTGGCTCATCCTACTGATCCTTCTCTCAGCATCTTTTCCCTGCCCCATTCAAGCTAAGCTTTTCTTGTCATTCACTGCTGATTATTAAACATGGGCAGATTTTACTACCCTATAGAACAGTAAGTTCTATTAAAAATACAAAATCAGTTTTGCTTCTTAATACATTTTTCCCCTGTAGCGATTTGGATATTATTTTTATTCAAGCTTGGAATTGTCAGAAAGCTCAGATTGTGGGCTTTGCTAGCACAAAATGTAGGTGGTTGCAGATATGTCGGCATTGATACAACACTTGGGTGTTGTTTTTTTGACTAAATTAATGTCAGCAGACTTGGATTGTTCTTGTTTCTCCGTATCTCTTTAATAAAGTGGCTCATCTTAGTGGCCTTTTGTTGTTTCTTCACAAGCTATTCATAAAAACTTTTATTTTCTCATAGTTTGGCAAGTGTGAAGCTTGGAGTTAAATTCTGCTCCTACTGAGGTCAAAGGGGAAAAAGTCCAAGTAAGCTTAGGACTGTAGAGCAAACCCTCTTGTAGGTTGTTTCCGTATTTCTCAGAACATGATTCTTCCTTCATTTTGGATGCTCAAAGTTTTCTCCAAGTGATCATTATCTTTGATCTAACTTCTTTGATGCTTGAAGATGCTTTTAAGAAGAGGATGGTGCTAGCCCCTACAAACTTGTTCCTTGCTGCCCAGGATCCTGGCTGTGGGGTATGCCAACTTGAAAAAAGGGGAGACTTCAAATCCTATTAGTGTTTTTTTGTTTGTTTGTTTTGTTCTTCCTGTTTACACACACATCCTACTAATTACAATGAAGAAGATAGGCAGCAGCACTGGCAAATACACCTATTAAATGCACTTGCTGGAAATGTTTATTCTGTTCATGAAAAATATGCCGAGAATGTTGCCAGGATAGCAGTGTTCAGTCTATATGACGCTAAATAGAGAGTGGTACAGAGACAGCAGGGAGTATCTGGGGATATCTTCCCAGAGGAAGCTGTTATGTGCAGTGTTACTGATGCACTTTTGTACAACTGTGATCCCTGGGCACAGACTCTAAATGAACACCAGTAGATGAGTAAAGTTGAGGGAAGGGGCATATTCCAAAGCAGAGAATTTGTCCTGGCTTTCCCTTTAATTCAGTGGATCTCTCCTTCTGCTTTTAATTGATGATTGTAAAGTTGAGAACAAGTGATGTAAATTGTAATATTTCAATATCATTTAAATCTGCTGAGAACTCTTCCATATTCTTGCACTAAAAAGAATGAGAGTTGTAAGACAATTCTTTTCTTCAACAAACAAATGCTGACAAGTAGATACCAAGCAGATATATTGGTTGTTCCCGTGTCACAGAATCACACACACAGAACCACAGAATAGTTGAGGTTGGAAGGGCCCTCTGCAGCTCATCTAGTCCAATCCCCCTGCTCAAGCAGGGTCACCTAGAACACATTGCACAGGATCACCTCCAGGCGGGTTTTGAATAGCTCCAGCGAAGGAGACTCCACTACCTCTCTGGGCAACCTGGTCCAGTGCTCAGTCACCCTCTCCGGAAAGAAGCTTGTCCTCAGGTCCAGATGGAACTTCCTGGCTTCCAGTTTCTGCCCGTTGCCTCTTGTCCTGTCACTGGCCACCACGGAGACGAGCCTGGCCCCCATCCTCGCGACAGCCTCCCTCCAGATACTTGGACACGTTGATGAGATCGCCGCTCAGTCGTCTCTTCTCCAGGCTCATCAGGCCCAGCTCTCACAGCCTTTCTGCAGAGGAGAGATGCTCCAGTCCCCCCCTCCCCCCATCCTCTTTGTAGCCCTCCACTGAACTCGCTCCAGTAGTGTCGTGTCTCTCTCTCTCTCTCGTACTGGGGAGCCCAGAATTGGAGCCACTACTCCACATGTGGCCACACCAGGGCTGAGGAGATGGGGAGGAGCACCGCCCTCCACCTGCTGGCAACACTCTTCCTCAGGCACCCCAGGATCCCCTTGGCCTTCTCGGCCACAAGGCCACATTGCTGCCTCATGCTTCACTTGTTGTCCTCCAGCACTCCCAGCTCCTTCTCTGCAGAGCTGCTTTCCAGCAGGTCAACCCCCAGCCTGTCCTGCTGCATGGGGTTCTTCCTCCCTAGGTGCAGCACCCTGCATTTCCCTTTATTGAACTTGATGAGGTAGGTTCCTCTCCGCCCAGCTCGCCAGCCTGCCCAGGTGCCTCGGCATGGCAGCGCAGCCTCCTGGTGTGTCAGCCACTCTGCTCACCTTTGGAGCATCAGCAAACTTGCTGAGGGGGCACTCTGTGCCTTCCTCCAGCTCCTCGAGGAAGACATTGAACAAGACTGGAGCCAGCACTGACCCCTGCGGCACACCGCCAGCTACAGGCCTCCAACTAGACTCTGCGCCACTCACCACCACCCTCCGAGCTCTGCCAGCCAGCCAGTTCTCCATCCACCTCACTGCACACTCATCTCAGCCACACTTCCTCAGTTCACCTGGGAGGATGTGATGGCAGGCAGCGTCCAAAGCCTCGCTGAAGTCCAGGGAGACAACAGCCACTGCTCTGCCCTCACCTACCCAGCCAGTCCTTCCAGCACAGAAGGCTAGCACATTGCTCAAGCATCACTTCCCTTAGCTGAAGCCATGCTCACTGCTCCTGCTCACCTTCTTGTCCTCCTCATGCTTGGCGAGGACCTCCAGCAGGAGTTGTTCCATCACCTTTCCAGCGATGCAGGTGAGGCTGACAGGCCTGGCGGTTCCTGCCTCCTCCTTCTTGCCCTTTGGGAAGACTGGCGTGACGCTGGCTTTCTTCCAGGCCTCAGGCACCGCTCCTGTTCTCCAGGACCTTGCCACGATGATGGAGAGCAGCCTAGCAATAACATCCGCCAGCTCCCGCAGCACTCGGAGCTGTGGGGGGGGGTGCATCCCAGCGGGGCCCATGGGTTTGTGGCTGTCAGGTTTGCACAAGCGAGCTCTAACCCCGTCCTCCTGCACCAAGGGAGAGTCTTCCTTTCTCCAGACGTTCTCTCTTGTCCCCAGGCTCTGGAATTCCCAAGGGCTGGCCTTAGCAGCAAAGACCCAGGCAAAGGCGGCATTCAGCAACTCTGCCTTCTCTAGAGCCTTCGTTACCAGGGCACCTGCCCCACTCAGCCGTGGGCCCACTTTTTCCCTAGGCTTCCTTTTGCCAGCGAGGTAGTTGAAGAACCCCTTCTTCGTCTCCTTGACATCCCTTGCCAGATTTAATTCCAAAGGGGCCTTAGCCTTCCTTGTCGCATCCCTGCACACGCTGACAACGCCCCTACGTTCCTCCCAAGTGGCCTGTCCCCTTTGCCACATTCTGGATACCTCCTTCTTCTCTGTGTGTATGTCTCAAGCAAAGAATAATAAGTAGTCTTCCAGAAAATGTATTCAGCCTTGCAAAGCGTAGCTTTTTGCTTGAAGATAGCAGTGGCATAGCTAGCCAGCCCTCCACCGGCTAATGTTGAGAATTTTACCTGGTGTCACCCTGTGTACTGTATATTTGTCTGTGATCTCCTTTGAATGGAGGCAAATGAATGTTGCCAACTTTCCCTGTATTTGTTGTGTTTTCTGAGATGCTTACTTTCTCTCATGTTGTTGTTAGATGGAGGAAAAAGTTTTAATCCTTGCAGTTACAGAAAAATACTTGGAAACTTGAACCCTTTATAATCAAAACCCCCAAAACTAAGAATTTTAAAAAGCAATATTCCTTTTAAAAAATATTTCTGAATTTTGAGACCTCAGTTAATGGCTTTGATTGCCTGGGATTATCAATACTGCTATTGCCCAACAGCAGATGATACTTAAATGTTGGACCCTATGTGGTGTGTTGTGTGCAGCATTGTCCTACAGGAAAATAACTATTTTGAAGAGAGTAGCAAATGTGATCTTCTGCGTTAATAGTAAGATTTTGAGAGCTGAGTTTCCCTCAGGAGGGAAGAGGAGCCTTGTAGAAAACTCTGATAAGAGGCTTTTGAAATTGCAGGGACTAGACTGCAAGTCTGGGAAGTTCAAGAGTGGAAGGGGTAGGAGATGTTAAACATGTCTGAAGATTGTACAGGACTCAGAGCTATTTCTACCCAATGTAAGAAGTATTCAGAGTAGGAGCTGAAGGAGATGAATTTAGGCATGGAACACATACTCAGAAAACATCTTGATGTGTTTCTGTAGCCTGAGGAAAGGGGCTTTATGACAAAATAGTAGGGAGGAATAAGCTAAGTTGGAGATGGGCCAGTGTATTGGGCCAGCTGGCCAGTCTATTCTTGTAACTATTGATACAGTCTTGTGACTTTCGCTGTTCCATTTCCAAGGGTGTGTTTTCGCTGGCATTTACAGTTTAACCTGGATGGGCATATATGTAATTTTTGTCCTTTGGGTTTTGAAGGTCAGCTTATACTCCAAAATGTATTTTGGGTATTTGTGTCAGTAGGCAGCGTTGTAGTGCCGGATCTAACCTAATCACATTAGTTCTGTAACGGTGACATTGTAAAAAGACTGTTGTGGTGCAGTCACCTTATCCTGGGGGAGCTGAGTAAGAAATATGCCAAGCCGCAAGAGGCTTTTGAACCTTTCCCTTCTCAAATCTGGTGGCTTAGTCTCATGACTCTGGCACTGCATCTCATTTAATTTTCTTCTCTGTGGAAAATGGAAGATTGTAAAGGAGATCTTAAAAGTAGGTGTGAAATTTTTATGTCAAAATTAAAGACCTCACTGATACCACCAGTGCTTTATCCCCATGTTGAGCTGTCTGTGACTTTGTTGTAAATACAGTTCCTAGATGTTACATTAATACATATAATAATCTTTAAAATATAGATTTGTTCCCTTAGTCATAACTGGTCATGATAGATCTATCCTCAAAAATTTCTGGCAGCTGCTGCACTGTCTCCTCCCAGGAAAGAGACTTTACCTACAATTCTTGCAGGCATCACTCGCAGTAGGTATATTCATGCCACTTGGAAAAGGTAGCCCTATTTTGGATGCTCCTTTGTTCATATGGAAATTGTCTCCCTATGAGCCTCTCTCTTCCACATTGTGTATTGAATAGGTGTCCATCTCTGTTACGGAGGTACTCTGAGATCTTCCCATCCTGGAAAGGCAATTTTCTATGTTCTGGACTTTTATCTCTTTCCTCTGTCTCACTGCTTGCTTCTGGTGTTTTTTGCTAGTGATTGTTATGGGTAAATTGTGCAGGAGAGTGGTGTGGCCAGAGACCTTGCTGTCCGTTTCACACTGCACGCTGAATCTTGTGAAAGGTTCTGGAGGGGAGATGGATTTGTATACGTGCAGTGATAGATAGGCAAGCAAGCACCGCCTAGCAAACTTCAGGACGCTTTGTAAGAATGAAGTCACATCCCCTCTTTTCCCTGCAAGGGAAGAACATTTCCCAGATTGTAAGAATTCAAACTCTGAAACGGGAAGAGCTCCATTTAAGGCGTTTAAGCTGGATGAGGATTGATGAAGTTTGATCCCAAGTTCCAATTATTGATTTCTGTCAAGTACAGGAAGTGCTTAGGGAAAGGCATACTTAATAGGAAACTGTAAGCCGCAGTCAGTGGTGATGACCCAACCTGAGACAGACACCGTGTGGGACAGGCTTATGAGGAAAAAGGAGAATGTGGGGGATCACGTGGGGGATGCCTTAATGGGGATGAACCCCTTACATTAGTGCTGTGTCATTTTAGAGGAAGAGATGGTATTTTAGGAACCAGCAGGTATGTAAGGGTCACTAGCTGTATGGTTAAGCATGCTGATCAGAATGTTACTTTTGGTCACCTGAATTTGACAAATGTGGTTATTTTAAAATGTTGTTGCATTTTTTTTTTTTTTAGTTCACTTCAGTATAACAACGCTTCCTTTGGCATCTGTAAGAAATACAGAGAGCTTCAATAACCCTAAAAAATAATTTCAGAAGGAGAAGAAACACAAGCATACAGACAAGGTACAAAGCATGGTTCTGTCTGATACAAGGAGACATGGGAAGATGTATAGTGCTATACAGAAGTACTTGCGGTTGTCATGCTGTCTTGTAGGAGAGAGAAGACTGTTCTAGAGGACACTTCTGGTTGAAATAATTTAAGGGTTATTCAGACATTGTCCTGTGACTGCCTGGGCAACACTGATGCCTCTCAGGACTTACCTTTGAGGTGCCCCTGTTCTCCTTTCAGGGCTCCTGAGCCAGCCTACAGTGCCCATGCTGCCCCCTCCAGACAGACATCTTTGGATACATGGACAAGGCTACCTGGCTGTGTGGTCAGAGAGAACGGAAGCCAGGGCACCTGGAAAGCACCTCTTTGGTGAGGCAGCACAGGCAAGCAGGGGAACAGAAAATAACCACCAAGGGAATATTGCTGATTGAACTGCCATTGCACAAAGCATGTTTTGCTTCAGTTTTCCAGATGGGTTTTCCTAACCAGTTCTAGCAGATGACTTGTGAAAGCTGGCAGTCCTGGACTACTGCTTCTCAGCAGGACAGCAGGTTGGGGCTGGGAAATTCCCTGGGAACATGGTGGCATTTCATCCTGTTCTCCGGGAGCATGTGATCAGGAGGACCAGCATGGCAGCACATGGTGCTGGATTTCTACAAAAGAGCTAAGGGCCTTGTGCTTTAGAGACTGCTGCAACCATCTACAGAGGTAGGACTTGGAATGCCCCTTTCTTTTGGGTTCTCTGTAGTGCTAAGCAGTGAAGATAAGTCTGGTCCCTGGGCTTTGGACAGGTTTATTCTTTTGGGTGGTTTATCATACTGTAAGACTCCAGAGTTAAGGCAGAAGTTGGGGAGACCAGCTGAAAGTAGGGAGCTCATAGATGTGAAACAGTGGTGAGATGGGTTTAATTTGTCATACCTGTGTCATGTCAGGCCACAAGTACCTCCCTGTCTCATGCAGAGGGGAAAGATAACAAATGACTTGGGCTGGCAGGGCTTCTTTCTGCTAATGCCTGTTTACAGACATCACCAGTGAAGCCTGCTCTCTAGTGGTCTGTCAAAATGAAAAGAAACTATTGGCACTTTGGGGACCTGATTTCAGCATGCTGTTTTGGCCTCTCATCTCCTGCTTTACAGGAATAACAAGTAGTGCTCTGAACTGCAGGAAATAAAGTGGGGATGAAGAGGAGGTTTTGGGGCTATATGGTTGGGGATGCATGAGTGAGTCTGCAGCTTCTGTGGATCCAGGGATACGAATTTGTGGGGAGGGCTTACAGAAGGTTAGTGTGTTAGGCTGTGTGGGTGCAAATATGCCTCAGGTGTCTGAGTGATACTGTGAGCTTTACAGCAAATCCTGCATGTGGATTTGGGTAGTGGGGAGTAGGCGATTCTCTCCTGGGGTGTTGGCATGGTGTGGGTGGTGTCCCTTCCAATAACATCTACCTATAGCCCTTTTCCTTAGGCTATAGCTCTTCACAGTTTGTGTTTGCTTGTATGCCTTCTGAGGCTAATGACAGGCATGGTAGGTTGTTGGATTAAACTAAGTCTCCTAGGTTTAGCTGGAATCTTGTCTCACTGTAGCATTTTTCTTCTCCTTTGCTCTTTTCTCTAAGCCTTCCTCTACAGACAGCTAATTTATCCCTTCCCCCACATCCTGTCATACCCCAGAGAGCATGTCACAAGGAATTAACGGCTGAAAAGGCCTGGGAGAGGCTGCTCCTTTGGAACAGTCTCTCCTTTCTGTGACCGGGGTGGCCCCCTCTGTGTGCCCCTTTTGTGTCCTGTCCAAATCCCCTCCCCCTTGGCCATTCAGTGAGTGCCAGATGATAGACCAGTGGCCCAACTTCTTTCCGATCTCTGCTCCAGCAGTGCTGTGTCTGATGCCATCCGCTGCAGGGAGAGGGGGGTTCCCGCACACAGCCAAGGCTCCAGGACATTCCTGAATCGCTGCTGCAGCGTTCGCTCCCTCCTGTTTCTCAGTGGCGGGAGGGAGAAGGTTTCTGTGCTGCTGCGCATGCTGGTGGAGAGCTTTCTGTGCTCCCATCTCTGTGCAGCTCTCCCCATGATTCTGACAGCATCACCGCTCTTGTTCTCAGTCTTCCTTCCCACAATTCACATACAATCTCCTCAGAATAGGGATGATGTCACTTCCTTCTAGAGTGTGTCGGGGGTGTGGAAGGGGGGAAGTCACGACCCCTGGCTCACTCTGAACAACCCCAGTTGATTAAGTGAGGTTGCTGTCTTGGAGGGAAGGAGTTGCTCTGAAGATAATGCTTGGCTTTGTCAGCAGACAGTCACCAAGCTGTCCTTTCCTTTTCTGACTGGGATTTTCAATGGCTGCAAGAAGAGTTTACTCTTCCCTCCTTCGCTTGTGATGTCTCTCTCCTTGGATATGTACTTTTCCTGACACACCTTTATGGGAGAAAAGATTGTTCATCAGCTGGACCGCATGTCATGTAAGATTTCTGCTTCCCATAGATCTCACTCTGATCTGAGGGTCAGGGGTCTGGACTCGTTGTGTTCAGAGCTTGTGCCTGGATTTAATTCCCCCTAATTTGGGTGTTGGGAGCTTGGGGCTTCTTGCACCAGGGTTCAGGTTTCAAGGACGTGGGAATTTTTCACTCTTGTGTGCAGTAATTTTAGGGGCAGCGTTAAGAGGTTCCTTGCTGTTGCAAAATTAGGGTCAGTGTTCTCAGGGCTGTTGGCACTCTGACCTTGGACTTTTTCTCCCTGTTCCTTTATTAGAGGCTGTCTTCGTGCTTCTTAAAATATAACTATTGGGATCTTGTACCCTGGGATGAAGCCAAAGAGTCCTCACACTGAAAGCATTAACTTTTTTTTTTTTTTGGGGG